CCAACATGCAGTGCTCAGGTTTTATTGCAGACGCTGGCCAGCGAAGTGTCAGAGAGAGTTGGTATCAAAATGCCCGTACTGCGCTCATGCTGGATGTGGGGCAGGACTCCTGCAGCTTCTAAGAAGTGTGGCCTTGAGCTCTGCCAGCTGGTTATGGTGACTTTTTTCAGGTGTTTCTTCATGTTGCCTGAGTTGTCCAGGGGTCGGAAGGCTGACTTGCTGTTTACTTTCCACGAACTTTCACTTCAGTGACTGTAGTGGTCTGGATAGTTCTCACATTCGTGGCTACGCCAAAGAGGAGGGCAGCTATGAGGGCAAGCATGCGACCAAAAACGACTCTCAAATACACCAGTGACATACCTCCTGCCCTCACTGACCGCCTTCTTCTTGGAGGGGGTCCGCTGTCCACACTCCCTCCTGCACCATGGTTAATGCACAGGGGAGGGTCCCAGCCTACATGGCAATGGCAGTTCCTGTTATTGTTGCACACGCCCCTGTAGTTGCATTTCGAAGGGGGACAGTTGTAGTCGATGGCCGCCAGAGTAGCATTGCAGAAGCCCTGAAGACAAAAGTTTCCACCGCCGCAGGGAGTACCAGGTCTCACAGCACCAACATCAGTTGTATCTGTCGCACGGTGTGCACCCACGCCAAAACACAAGGACCCCCCTATGATTGAGTGATGGAAGCCCACATGTTCCTGCAACCGAGGCAGATGAGTGACGTTGACACACTGTAGGCGTCCACACATAACGTCAGCGTCCGCACAACCTTTTGGCCGGTATTCATCAGTAACTTTACAGTGTCCAAATCGGTGGCCCTTTTTATTTATGCTGTAGCAGACGTCTGGCGCGCTCAGCGCCCCCTCCCCAAAGATCTCCTTGCAGTGCATACTGCGGTCGGTACAATTGCCCTGATAGCAGTAGCCGTCCTCAGTGCACGGGGTTCCATCTTGCAGATAAAAGTCACTGGGGCACCTCGTGTCCTTCCCCAGGCAGTACTCCGGAAGGTCACAGATGTTCTGGATCGGTCTGCAGAGTGTCCCTGCAGGCGAGTGGGTGCAGTTTGCACAGCACGTTTCTCTGTTACAGATGCTCCCAGGTGTGAAGCTGCAGTCACTTTCACAGCATGTGTTGCTGTAACACTGCTTGAAGGTCCCACAGTCACACTGCTCTTTGTCTTCCACCACAGAGTTTCCACATCGAATGGATGTCAGGCTACTGTTTGAATATGCCAGCGGCCCTCTTTCTTTGAAGAGGCAGCGTTGTATATTATTATTAAGTACATGTTGTGTGTGTACAAAGGAGCAGTTACTGAATGAATCTGTCAATACAGGGTATCTGTACATGATGCAGGTGGCCCTTCTCTGGCAAACACAGTCCATTGAATCTAACCACAGACCAAAAGAGGTCCCTATATGGTGGGAGGCTATAATTGATAACAGTAAATAATGTCTGGATAGTTGACCTAGAAAGATCAGATTTT